TCATTCCCATTCTACAATAATGAGATTCAAACGAGCCCTTATAAAGAATTAAAAAAAAAACACGAGCTGCTTTCGACTCGAGCCTAATTTTTTTGATTGAGCTTTTGCTATGCTTGGCTTGGGCCCAAAAAAGATCGGACCCGTTTCGCTCGAGCCGAGTCCGAGCTTTGAATTTTGGCTCAGCTCGGTTCGACTTGTTGACATGGCTATGTTCGCATGAAAAGTTATGTTATTTTTTATTGAACTTTTTTCTCTTTTATTTGGTCAATTTACTTGATCAAAGGGCAACTATAATAATTTCCCAAATTTTCTCCAAAAAATAATCCATAACTATCTCATGTACAGATGGAAAATAAATCTATTAATTCAAATATTAATTATATTCTAAAGGTACAAAATAGCAGTCAATATTATTGTATCATAAGTTCATAATAACTCATAATAATCTTTGCTATCTTTCATAACAAACTAATAATGCTATTTAACATAAGTGACGTGTGCAGCACTAGTGTATGTGGTGTGGGGAAAGTGCCACGTATTCCAATTAAATTGTGATGCATTTTTATTCATTTAAGACAATGTGATTATAGCTTCACTTTCATCTAAACCAAGTACTAGACATTACTTGTCCTATATTAAATTATTTTCCCAATATAGGAACACTATAGTAAAAGAGTAGAAGATGAGAGAAATCTAGTTGTTTTGGATCTTCGCATAATCCAAGTTCACTTTGCCGTCTACTGTATTACTGAGCTGTGTTTNAGTATAAGAGAAGAAACTGGGAGAGAAATCTAGTTGTCTTGGATCTTCGCATAATCCAAGTTCACTTTGCCATCTACTGTATTACTGAGCTGTGTTTCTACATATTCTATGTATTTGAATGGCCGATACAGTGGACGCCCGTCTCTTTGTACTAACGGTGAAGCTGGACCAACAATGGCCTCTGGTGCTGGACCATTGGGTATAACAACAGAAATTCTTGTTGCTTGGTTATTCACAACAGCTCTATGCTTCACACTCTTGTATCTCCCATTGCTGAATATCTGCCAATTCAATTCAATAATTTTAAGCATGTTTGGCTAAGTTTTGAGTAGCTTTTCCTTGTTTTCTTTTTGGAGTTCAAACTTGATTTTTCGTGGTAGAAGAAAAATGATTTACCTCAAGCTGATCGGCAGTGTTAACTAGAATGGAATTCTGAGGTGAATTTGTATTAAACCACTTCCCATTATGTTGTATTTGTAGTCCAGTCACTCCATTGTGTATTAAAAAGGTCAAAAGACCATGATCTGTATGTGGTGGGAGCCCAATTGCTTGATCTGGCTGTGGACAAGGTGGATAATAATTTGCAGCAAATAGTTCCTTGTAACTCAGGTTGAAATCCTAAAGAAGGTTATATCCTTCTTCCAATCCAAGGTTTTCAGATATCCCTTGGAGTAATGTTCCTGCTACAAATCGGCTTCTTTTTGCGTACTCAAATATAATCTCCCTACGACGAAATACAAACAATTAACATGATAAGTTATATTATAATTTTTTGAGCTATGCCCCTCCTAAGTTTTTATTTCTAATGTGAATAAGTACTATTGTTAGACAGAGTGTCTTACCTAAAGTTTTGAGGTTTATCAGGATAATGAAATTCAGGATGGACATAGGATTTTATAAAATCCCTCCAGAGGAAAATCTTCTTGTCCGAAGTAGTTATGGCACTGCCTCTGCCATACTTGATTGGATCTGAAACATGCTTCGCTTCATACTTTTGCTTATCCTCCTCTGGCAAATCGAAGAACTCCAAAGCCCCTTCTATTGTTGCCTTCATTAAGGTTTCCGATATCCCGTGGTTTACCAGCTGCAAGAATTAACAAGTACAAATTAATGCATGCACTACTTATTGTGAACAGAAAAACATGGATGATACTGGACAATATAACGAACAAAAATTTGAGAAAGTATATATTGTACCACAAAAAAACCCCATTCTTCACAAGCTTTACCAAGTTCTTGAATGACTTTGGACCTTTGATCAGGATTTCCAGAGGTAAGTGAAGAGAAATCAATGATTGGGATTGAATCAGAATTTGAGCCTGTGGGTTCATTCACAAATGAAAATTCAGAGGGAACAGACCGAAGATCAGTAGATTCAGCCAGTACTTTAACACCAGAATTCATGTTAGATGGTTCCACAGAAGTTGGTGTTGGTTGCTGAGGAGGGAGGTCAGATCGGTAACCACGGTAAAAAGACGGCGTACTTTTGTCTTGAGCGTGTGTGTGTGGAGGGACTTCTGCAAATGAAAAAAGTATGGTTATATATAGTGGTTGGAGAAGTGGCCTTTTTGAATTGTTGGCGTGACACAGAAATCTAAACTCGTGTCCATTCACACGATCAATTAATTGCAGATTTTTGCCCCGGGACACGTGTCCGAGTGGTAAAAGTGAAATGTGGAACAACTCCAACTTTGTTTGAGGTTGTCGCATTAAGGGTTCGAATCCTGAAATATGAATTTAGCCCTTGAGTAAATGTAAGTGTACAAACAGCCTTCCACCTTATACCCTTGGAGGCATAACCTGCGATTTACCTCCTTCACCAAGGCCCAGGACAGGGCAGGTGGGGGCCGCTAAGGATGCGGTTCATCCTTTTTTTTTTTAAATTGTGAGATGAATATAAATGCAAACTCAA